CTAAGATAACACAAGGTACCAGACACGGGGCACTGGTACCAGAACGCACCAGACACACGGGGGCACTGGTACCTAGCATAACACAAGGTACCAGTAAGTATATTAAACTTTTTTTTCTTGTAATTGCTGTTACTGTAGGTGTTGAGTGTGTCTAATGAAGGATAGATGTTAAAAACCTTTATTTATTATTGATGGTGGCGGTGGTTAGCTTACTGTTGTATCATAAAGGAGACTGTGTGTGTGTGTGTGTGTGTGTGTGTGTGTGTGTGTGTGTGTGTGTGTGTGTGTGTGTGTGTGTGCTATGTCAAGAAAGGTGGAAGGTGTTTTAAGGCAGATACAGTGCCTCAAGAGTTAGTACAGTGCCATGAAAGTTAGTACAGTGCCACAAGAGACCTGGTACAGCCAAGAGATTCAGTGCCATAAGAGATCTGGTACAGTGCCATAAGAGATCTGGTACAGTGCCATAAGACCTGATGCCATAAGAGAGCTGGTACAGTGCCATAAGAGACTTGGTACAGTGCCATGAGTTAGTACAGTGCCACAAGAGACCTGATACAGTGCCACAAAGAAAGTGGCCTTAACCAGGTAACTGCAGAATAACAAGTGCCAACAGAAGCCAGACGAAGCCCTAAGCTGTAGTGCCAACCTGAGTGCCGCCGCTCGACCTTCGTAGCCGATGCGGAAATCGTGAGGACGAGTGTCACTAATCGGATTATTTGGCGGCGGGGGTACACCTGACCCCGAGTGACCTCCACACCTGACTAACCTTCACACCTGACGAGCTAACAGTGACTTCCACCTGACTAACTAACAGTGACCTCCACACCTGACTAGCTAACAGTGACCTCTACACCTGACTAACTAACAGTGACCTCCACACCTGACGAGCTAACAGTGACCTCAACACCTGACTAACTAACAGTGACCTCTACACCCGACTAACTAACAGTGACCTCTACACCTGACTAATCACTGACCTCCACACTTGGCTGACTAACAGTGACCTCCACACCTGACTAACTAACAGTGACCTCCACACTGATCATCATTGACCTCCACCCTGACTAACTAAAAGGACTCCACACGACTAACTAACAGTGACCTCCACACGACTAACTAACAGTGACCTCCACACGACTAATCAACAGTGACCTCTACACTGCCTAACACTGACCTCCACACCTGACTAACTAACAGGACCACACCTGACTAACTAACAGTGACCTCCACACGACTAACTAACAGTGACCTCCACACCTGACTAATCACTGACCTCCACACTTGGCTGACTAACAGTGACCCCACACCTGACTAACAGTGACCTCCATACCTGACTAACCACTGACCTCAACGCTTGGCTGACTAACAGTGACCCCCACACCTGACTAACAGTGACCTCCATACCTGACTAACCACTGACCTCAACGCTTGGCTGACTAACAGTGACCCCACACCATAACAGGACCTCCACCGACTAACCACCCTCAACGCTTTGACTAACAGTGACCTCCACACATGGCTGACTAACAGTGAACCCCACACCTGACTGTAACAGACATCCACACCTGACTCCACTGACCCTCCACACTTGACTGACTTATAGTGACCTCCACACCTGACTAACTAACAGTGTCCTCTACACCTGACCAATCACTGACTCTTACACTTGGCTGACTAACAGTGACCCCACCTGACTAACAGTGACCTCCACCTGACTGACCACTGACCTCCACACCTGACTAACCATTGACCTCCACTTGGCTGATAAACAGTGACCTCCACACCTGACTGACAAACAAGTGACCTCTACACCTGACTAACCACTGACCTCCACCTGACTGACTAACAGTGACCTCCACACACCTGACTGACTAACAGTGACCTCACACTTGGCTGATAAACAGTGACCTCCACTTGACTGACAGACAAGTGACCTCTACACCTAACTAACCACCGCCCTCCATACTTACTGACTAATAATGACCTCCACACATGACTAACAGTGACCTTCACACCTGACTGACTATCAACTGACCTCTACATCTGACTAACTAACAACTGACCTCACCTGACTAACTAACAACCGACCTCCATTCCTGACTAAATATCAACTGACCTCTACACCTGTTCAACTAACAACCGACCCCCATACCTGACTAACTAACAACTGACCTCCACACCTGACTAACTATCAACTGACCTCCACACCTGACTAACTATCAACTGACCTCCACACCTGACTATCAACTGACCTCTACACCTGACTATCAACTGACCTCTACACCTGACTATCAACTGACCTCTACACCTGACTATCAACTACCACACCTGACTATCGCCTCTACACTGACTATCAACTGACCTCTACACCTGACTATCAACTGACCTCTACACCTGACTATCAACTGACCTCTACACCTGACTATCAACTGACCTCTACACCTGACATGGGTTTTTTTTTCTTGAAAGGACTACACTGGAAATGACGTCATCGTTCTTACGCCATTTGGTTTTCGTGCCAATTTCGCGAATAGTTTACGAATGTTGGTGATTTTTTTCATGGCGTCGTAAATATAAACTAATGTTGTTTGTATTTTGTTTAAGCAGAATGATTTTGATGTATTTCCAATCTTGAAGTATGACTGAGGCGATTTTTTCGGTAATTCTTTGAGTATGATGACTGGACCCCTTGAGTATGATGACTGGACCCCTTGAGTCCGATAATTTAATCCCTTGAGTATGATGACTGAACCCCTTGAGTACCATAATTTAACCCGTGAGTACAATAATTTAATCTCTTGAGTATGATGCTTTAACCCCTTGAGTATGATGACTTAACTCCTTGAATATGATGAATTAACATCTTGAGTGTGATGACTAAATATTGAGTACAATAACTTAATCAATTGAATATGATGACTTTATCCTTTGAGTACGATGACTTAACCCCACAAGTACGATGACTTAACATAAAAGGGGTTAAGTCATCGTACTCAAGTGGTTAAGTCATAATATCCGGGTTTAAGTAATCATACTCAAGCGGTTAATTCATCATACTTAAGGTATTAACTCATCATACTCAATGGTAAAAGTCTTCGTACTCAAAGAGTTAAGTCATATATGTGACCACACCTGACCTCTCGTGACCCACACATCTGACCGTTAACGACCTCCACATCTGACCGTTAATGACCTGCACACCTGACCTAAAATGACTTCCACACCTGACCTACAGTGACCTCCACACCTGACCTTTACTAACACCACAATGACCTCCACATCTGACCTTTAATGACCTCCACACCTGACCTTTAATGACCTTCCACACCTGACCTTTAATGACCTTCCACACCTGACTCATTGACCTCCATACCTGACCTACAGGACCACACCTGACCTTTGATGACCTCCATACCTTACCTAGTGACCTCCACACCCGACCTTTAATGACCTCCACATCTGAGCTTTAATGACCTCCACACCTAACTTTTAATGACCTTGCACACCTGACCTTCAATGACTAAATCGTGACTTTCGTTGACCTCTATACTTGACCTTTAATGACCTCCATACCTGACCTACAGTGACCTGCACACCTGACCTTTAATGACGTACATCTGACCTGTAATGACGTCCACATCTGACCTTTAATGACCTCCACACTTGACTTTTAATGACCTCCACACCTGACCTGTAATGACCCCACACCTGACCTTCATTTACTTCACACCTGACCTTCGTGAGCCTCCCACACCTGTCCTTTTAATGACTTCCTGCCCTTCTTAGACCTCCACACCTGCCCTTCTTAGACCTCCACACCTGCCCTTCGTAGACGTACACCTGCCCTTCGTAGAACTCCACACCTGCCCTTCGTAGAACTCCACACCTGCCCTTCGTAGAACTCCACACCTGCCCTTTAATAACCTCCACACCTGCCCTTCGTTGACCTCCACACCTGACCTTTAATGACCCCCCCCACACCTGATTAATTAATATATGTTAACTGGTAGTATTGGATTGCCCTTGACGTCTAATTTATAATACAATAGATACAGCAAAATACAGTAATAACACATCACAGAGAACAATAATACATCATAATACATTACAGGACAATGGGTACAGTGATACATAACAGAATAGAAGTAATACAGTACAGTACAGTAGATGTAACAAGAAGCCTCCCTGGACACACTTACCCTGAGTGTGTGAGCTGAGAACACACACACACAGAGCTCACGTACACGCGACTTGTGTACACTCGCTGTTCACGTACACTAGTAACACCAACTGTAGACGTAACCACGGTGGTCATGTACTACGTCCACATGACGTACACACTGTGAGGTACGTACATAGATGATGTGCACACAGATATATGCTGTACATGGTGATGAGATACATACACATTTGGTGCACATAATGATTACGCACATATTTAATGTCACAGTGAGGTATCTACATGGATGACAACATACACACAGTTAACATACAGTAATGACACACATACAGTTAAAGAACACAATGATGTGGTGCACATGCTGGTCAGGTACACATACTAACGAGGTACACACACAGGTGACGTACATTAAGTGTTACACACGAAACTGGAGTACACACACACTGATGAGATACACACCGTTGATTTGTAAACACTGATAATTTACACACACACAGACACACGTGTTGTGTGCACACAGCTGACGTACACACACCTTACTGACGCTCACAACGTACCAACACAGGAGGGCGTACCGTACTGTACCTCAGTTAGTGCCGCACCACCTGGGTGTTAGGTGGTGAGGGGAGTGTTAGGTGAACGTGGGGGGCAGGTCCCCAGAACTGTCTCACCCCCGCCCCCCTGGTGTTGCTACCTGGGTGTTGTGGTCCAGGGTGGTGATCTTACCTGTTGATGAGGCTGGTGGCACTACTTTCTCCAACTACACAAGTAACTGACTTATACTATAAATCTGAGATTGATAAACACACAGGTGTCTCACTTGTTGATGTGCAGGTGTTGTGGTCACCGACGATCTCTGCTCTTGTTGAGGGTACGGTCAGAAGTGGTGGATGGTTCCCGGTGGGCGTCGGTGTAGCCACAACAGGTGTGGGTGGTGGTTTGCAGGTGTGGTCGCGGCGGCGTGGGGCGCGGGGCTGACCGCGGGGAGCCGCACGGATCACTCGCTCAGGGATGACTGGAAAGCTCGCGCGCGAGAGGGTCTCCCAGTTTTATACCGCCCCACTCGACCTTATTAGGCAACGCGCCGCGCTGATATCAGCCCGCTCATTGGCTACAGCCGCAGCAGCGCCGCCAATGACGGTGACACAGCAGCTCTCGCCGTTTCCGATTGGTGGGTCTTGACTACAAGCTCCTCCCCTTCCAGTTTGTCATGTTATGATTTCGTCAGGATCAGCAGTAGGAGGCTTGTTTTTATATAAATAAATCCAATAGTCTTCTTGTAATTACTATCAACATATAAATGAATACTAGCAGTCATTTGAGAGCAATTTACGGGCTAGTAATGACAAAGGTAAGCCATAAAGTAGACTGGTGGCCGGGTATCAGTGAGCCACGACTCCCTGCAGTGACACAGATAAAAAACTAGATTGGAATTAAGTTTGGGATAATTGTTGTGGTTGGGCGCTATCGTCAGGAGGCGCCCATTATTCCCGGCCAAATGCCTCACTCTCCCCCCCTCCCCAGGCTCGCCTCCCCTTGTACGTTTAATGAACCTTTAACAATGCCATGACAAGTATTAAGAGGGTGCCTACGTTATCGCCTCACCATCACATCCAGAATTTGTTGTATCTCTCGTGAGGTGAGGACGTGGGCCTGGTGGTGCCTCACTTACCCTCTCGCTGATCTGGGTGATGTCTGTTGATGGTGCCATGGTACTAGTGATGGTGCCATGGTAGTGATGGTGCCATGGTACTAGTGATGGTGCCTTGGTGATTTTGATAGTTCTGGTGCCACGGTGATGGTGCTGACACCGTGGAGTTGGGGATGGTGATAGTGCCATTGTGGTGGTACCTTGTTGATGGTGCTGTTGATGTTACTATATGATTAAGATGATGGTGTTATTGTGGATTTGGTTCCATGGTTGTGATGACATGATTGATTATGGTGTTATGAATCTGGTGATGGTGCTAGTATAGTGTCACCTCCCCTCCACGCGTGCACACTCACTACTAGACCTTCTTAAGCTGGCTTGCAGTGTGTGTGTGTGTGTGTGTGTGTGTTACCGTACAGAATGAGATGACGGGTATTATTAATATTACTGTTGTAGCTGTTGTTACTTTTATTATTATTATTATTATCATCATTAATATATTTATTATCATTATTATTATCATTATTAATATATTTATCTCTCATTGTTATTAATAGTAGTAGCCACTGTTGTTGTCGTCTTGTATTTTCATCATTCTTAAATATTTTTGCACCACTCATGAATATTATTTTTATCACCGTTTACTACTACTATTAATTTTTATTATAATTGTTATTATCATAATTAATATTTTTAATACTATAATAATTATTATTACTATTATTGTGGTTATTAGTATTATCAGCTTTACTTTACAGTTCAATCATTATTATTTCTCCGTTTTCCTCTTCTTTTAGATCTCTTTGTTGCTGTTCTTCACCTTCTTATTGTTTGTCCTCCCATTTCTTCTTTCTTGTTATTATTATGATTATCATTAACATCAAAGTTGTTGTATCTACAATTATTATTAATACTATCGTCATCTTCATCACCACCGCCTACAGCACTACCTTTTGTCTCCACAGGTAAATATGCCGACACTGGGAAATAATTTGCATACACAGGTAAGTCGTAGGAACAACTACAGCCTCGTGCAGCTGGAAGACTGAACGGTAAGTGTTGTCTGTGCTAACCTCCAGTGTTGTGGTGAAGGAGGGTGTTGTGGTGGAGGAGGGTGTTGTGGTGGAGGTGTTGTGGTGGAGGAGGTGTTGTGGTGGAGAGGGTGATGTGGTGGAGGAGGTGTGTTGTGGTGGAGGGAGGTGTTGTGGGTGGAGAGGGTGTTGTGATGGAAGGAGGTGTTGTGGTGGAGGAGGTTTTGGTGGAGAAGGTGTTGTGGTGGAGGAGGGTGTTGTGATGGAGGAGGGTGTTGTGGAGGGTGTTATGGTGGAGGAGGTGTTGTGATGGAGAGGAGGGTGTTGTGGTGGAGGAGGGTGTTGTGATGGGGGAGGAGATGTTGTGTGATGGAGAGGAGGGTGTTGTGATGGAGGTGTTGTGGTGGGAGAAGGTGCTGTGATTGAGGATGATTTTCTGGTGGAGGGTGTGGTTGGAGTACGGTGTTGTGATGAGGAGGTGTTGTGGAGAGGAGGTGTTGTGGTGGAGGAGGTGTTGTGATGGGAAGGGTGTTGTGCTGGAGTAGGGTGTTGTAGTGGAGGAGGGTGTTCTGATGGGGAGGTGTTTGATGGTGAAGGAGGGTTGTAGTGGAGGAGGGTGTTGTGATGGGGAGGGTGTTGTGATGAGGAGGAGGGTGTTGTGGTGGATAGGGTGTTGTGATTGTAGGAGGGTGTTGTGGCAGGAGGTGATGTGATTGGGGAGGGTGTTGGGTGGAGAGGTGTTGTGATGAGAGGGTGTTGTGATGGAGGAGGTGTTGTGGTGGATTAGGTGTTGTGATGGAGGGTGTTGTGGTGGAGGGTGTTGTGATGGAGAGGAGTTGTGATGGAGGAGGGTGTTGTGGTGGAGGAAGGTGCTGTGATTGAGGATGATTTTCTGGTGGAGGTGTTGTAGTTTGGTGGTGTTGTGATGGGGGAGGGTGTTGTGGTGGAGTAGGGTGTTGTGGTGGAGGAGGGTGTTGTGATGGGAAGGGTGTTGTGGTGGGTAAGGTGTTGTGGTGGAGGGTGTTGTGATGGAGGAGGGTGTTGTGGTGGAGGAAGGTGCTGTGATTGAGGATGATTTTGTGGTGGAGGTGTTGTGAGTGGAGTAGGGTGTTGTGATGGGGAGGGGTGTTGTGATGGTGAGAGGTTGTAGTGGAGGAGGGTGTTGTGGTTGGAGGGTGATGTGATGGAGGAAGGTGTTGTGGTGGAGGAGGATTGTTGTGGTGGAGGAGGGTTGAGCTGGAGAGGTGTTGTGATGGAGGAGGATGTTGTGGTGGAGGGAGGTGTTGTGGTAGGAGGTGTTGTGGTGGAGGAAGGGTGTTGTTGTGGTGGAGGATGATGATGTGGTGGAGGAGAGGATGTTGTGGTGGAGGATGATGATGTGGGTAGAGGATGATGATGTGGTGGAGGAAGGTGTTGTGATGGAGGATGATGTTGTGGTGGAAGAGATTTTGTGGTGGTTGGAGGTGCTTGTGGTGGAGAAGAGTGTTGTGATGGGAAGGGTGTTGTGCTGGGTAGGGTGTTCTGATGGGGGGAGGTGTTGTGGTGGTGAAGGAGTTGTAGTGGAGGAGGGTTTTGTGGTGGTTGGAGGGTGCTGTGGTGGAAGAGTGTTGTGATGCAAGAGATTGTTTGTGGAGGAGGTTGTTGTTATGTTGGATATGTGTGTGATGGAGAAGTTGTGTGGTGGAGGGTGTTGTGGTGGAGGATGATGTGGTGGAGGTGTTGTGGTGGAGGAGGGTGTTGGTGGAGGGAGGGTGTTGTGATGGAGGATTGTGTGTGGTGGAGGAGGGTGTTATGGTGGGAGGTGTTGTGGTGTGGATGGTGTTGTGGTGGAGAAGTGTTGTGATGCAGAGGGTGTTGTGGAGGAGGGTGTTATGTTGGGGGATGTTGTGATGGAGGAGGGTGTTGTGATGGAGGAGGGTGTTGTGGTGGAGGAGGTGTTGTGATGGAGGAGGTGTTGTGTGGTGGAGGAGGGTGTTGTGGTGGAGGTGTTATGGTGGAGGTGTTGGTGGAGGATGGTGTTGTGGTAGAGGATGGTGTTGTGGTGGAGGGAGGGGTGTTGTGATGGGGAGGGGTGTTGTGATGGACGGTGTTGTTGTGGTGGAGAATGTTGTGGCGGAGGAGGTGTTGTGGTGGAGAGTGATGTTGTGGTGGAGGAGGGTGTTGTGGTGGAGGATGGTGTTGTGATGGAGGGAGGGGTGTTGTGGTGGAGAGGGTGTTGTGGTGGAGGGGGATGTGGTGAAGGATGATGTTGTGGTGGAGGGTGTTGTGGAGTAGGGTTTTGTGGTGGAGGGTGTTGTTTTGGAGGGTGATGTGGTGGAGGAGGTGTTGTGATGCAAGGGGGCATTGTGAAGGAGCGTGTTATGTTGGAGATGTTGTGATGGAGGTGGGTGTTGTGGTGGAGGAGGGTGTTGTGATGGAGGATGATGTTGTATTGGAGAATGATGTTGTGGTGGGGTGTTGTGATGTAAGAGGTGTTGTGGAGGAGGTTGTTGTTATATTGGAGGATGTTGTGATGGAGGAGGGTGTTGTGGTGGAGGGTAGACTGGTGGTGGACCCTCATATACCATGGGGAACACCTTCACCATCGACACTACTTCCCTCCTCTTCTCTGCTCCGTTATTTAGAATAGGACAAAAAATACTAATGTAATATTTATTGAAGATTATAGATAGTATTTACGAAGGCTGACAGTCGGAAAAAATAGCTGAGGTGTGTTGGTCAATTCATCTTGTGTGAGTCTGTCTGACAGCTCCTTAGGAAAACTTGTAATGAGCTGTCATCATCCGGGGTGTTTTGTGGGGATAACATCAGCATACCACAAGGCCGGGTGGTTGGTGGTGGTAGTGACTCGGGTGGTGAAGGGTGATGGTGGCACGGAGCTGGTGGTGATGGCTCTGGCAGGTGGTGTTGATGATAATGACGGTGGTGAAGGGTGATAGTGGTGGTGATAGCATGGTGGTGGTGGTGGTAGTAGTGGTGGTGGTAGTGGTGGTGGTAGTGGTGGTGATGGTGGTTGTAGTGGTGATGGTGGTGGTAGTGGTTGTAGTGGTGATGGTAGTGGTGGTGGTTGTAGTGGTGATGGTGGCACGGACTTGAATAAAATTTAGCAGCAAACGGTCACTAGTTTATTGTACACCCCATACCCATCACGCGATAGCGCAAAAATGATTATAGAGTAGTTGGTTGGGACGTCGAGGGGCGGGTGGGGCGGTGTCTGGGCGGTCGGGTGGGCGGTGAGATGGGTGGTAAGATGGGTGGTGGGACGGGTGGGTGGCGTCGCACACAGCTGCTGCGGGTCGTGATAGAATTTGCAAGTTTGGACAATG